GGTCATTGGAGTCATCTGGCAGGGATAAGCAAGCCCCAGAGTGACTTTCCAGCATTTCTCTGGTTCAAACCCAAAGCTTTAGCAGCTTAACTTGCTGCAGATACGAAGCCTGAATGGAGCTGCCCCTACAGCAGCATGTGGGGCTGTGACATTCTCCTCTCCTGTGGCCACCAGCACCCAGCTAAGGCTGCAGTGAGCTGTGAGCTGATGGGGAAGCACCTGTTGTGTCCAGATATCAAGGGAGTCACATGCAGTGCCACCAGCATATCCAGCACTGGGGACTGCAGCTGAGGATGTGCATCTCTCCTCTCACTTCTGCCAGGCTCATGCTCCCTCAGCCCCAGCTGCTCTGGGAAGTTAATCCCTCCCAGTCAGGATTTTCATAGTGGCAACATGTTATTAAAATGTGTGAAAAACTTCTCCCATGCAGAAATAAATGTGTCAGCTTGGAAACAAGGGCAAGTGGAGGATGGAGCTGCGTGGAGGAGGGACAGGTGCACAGGGTCCCTCCCCAGCAGCAGCGTTTCTGCCATTGCGTTGAGCTGAACTGCATAAAATAACTTACAGTTTAATTACAGGGGCTCCTGCTTGTTGGTGTCATTAATGAGGCAACTGGCTTAATTTAGCTGAATAAAAATGGCTTTAATAGTGGAAACACTTTTGGCTGCTGGGTAATTAAGGGAAAAGAAAAAATGCTGTCTCCTCTTGCATTAAAGTCCACTTGTTCTGGTCCACATGGATCTGGAGTCTTCTTTGTTCCACCCTCACCCATCCCTTTTTTAATGACAGGGGCTCATTCAGGACTCCATGGGGCACTCCCTGGCCCCATCTGTCACTCATGCTGTGACAAAATGGCAAAGGTCACCTCCCCTCCCTTCTGGTCACCAGCAAGGTCTTGGCAGTGCCTGCAGGAGCTGTGGGAGAGCGTGTGGGACGTGGTGTGTGCCCTCCTCAAATGCAGGAGGAGGATGGAGGGAGAGAGTGAGAACTGGGATTTGGCTGTCACTCGGTGGTACCAGCCTGCCCCTGAGGTGTGCAGTGAGGTGCTGGTGGGGATGGGAGCAGGAGCCTTGGGAGCACAGCTGCTGTAGCAGGAGGATTGTGGTGTTGAGCCTGAGCCATGGATGGGTTGGGTGGCTCTGCCCTGGACTCTGGTCCAGGTGAGCTCTATCCAACCCTCTCTCCCTCCTCAACTCCTTTTAGAGGCAAAAGCAGCCTGGCAGCTACTTCTAGAGACTGTCTCCATGGAAAAGAGCATCTTGTGAGTGATGGAGAAAATGTCCCATGGCAAAGAAGCAGTTTGAGTATGTTCCAGGAGTGCTGATGGCAGATCTGTCCTGGGAGAGACAGGCTCCTGTTCATTGCTGAGAAATATGCAGGGAAGGCATTTTGCTTCGCCCTGCCTGCGTTTCCTTGACGTGTGATGTGCTGTATTTTGTTACAGGTGGAGCTGATGCATAGGCTGTTAGAAAGGTTGTCTGGCACACTGCTACAGGACTGCTTCCACTTTCCTATAATTCTGCCAAATTTTAATTGCTCAGGCTGAAGTTTTCTGTGTTGGGTGTCTGCTCCTGGCTGATTCTATTTTTTATTATTTCTTTCTAGTTTCACATAAGAGCTTTCTCAAATGTTTGAGGAGGTAGAAGGGAGGTTGGGAAAAAGCTATTTTGCTCAAGCTAGAAAATGCTGGCGATGCTGCTGTTACAGAATATTTGCACCCTCCTTTTGTGGAGGGAAAGAAATCTTGTCAAAGGACAGATTTTTTTTTTTGAAGACTTGGTTTTGCTCAGAGATGTCTTAGGTCAGTAGAAAGGCTCTTGGTCCAGTTGGAGGGGAGAAGTTTTGCAAAGGATCAGGAATGAGTAAGGGAGAGGAGTAGCAGCTCTTGGGACACTGCTGTTGGTGTGTGAGCGTGTAAAAGTGGAGATGATAGGAAATTTGGGCATGGGTAAGGAAACTGAGGCTGAGAAATACTTGGGAGTGGATGGAGATCAATGAGTAGTGCGGTTCAGCCAGCTAGGAGGGAGAAGGAAATGGGCCAGGAAGGAGAGAGCTGGCACTGCCCAGCCACAGCATAAGAGGATGGGGGCTCTTGTCACTCCAGTAACCGGGATTTGGAGGTGGCAACAGACTCTAAATGCTCTAGGAAGGCAGAATGAGCCTTTGAGAGGCCTTGATTTGGAGCTGTGAGATGTTCTGCATGTGAGTGCCTTGATTTTCCCCAACCCTCCCCATTTATGCTGTACAGAACACTGGGAAACTTGGTGTGTGCAGCTGAAATTTGTGACTGGGGGGAGCCTTGCAAGCACTAAACAGGAATTACAAAGTGCTGGAGCTCAGAGCCTCACCTGTGGAGCCATAATTTAATCTCCTCATGTGCATGTACTGTGATTCCATCTCTAATTACAGAATCACATGCTCCCTTCCCCAGGAAACCTTTCCCATCCAGCATGTGGGATGGGTCTGTTCTGGGGAGAAATCACTGCTGTGCAGTGAAGTTTCTCTGGAGGAGCTCTGTCTTCTGCAGCACAAGTCAGTAGCTGTACCCTTTTGTATGTGGAATCCCAGTCCTGGCATCTCTGACCTTTGGAGTTTTTGTGACCGAAATGGTGTATTTTTAACGTGTGTTTGTGTGCAGCTCCTTTCAGTCTCTGTGCTGAGGTCTGTCTCTGAGCCTGAGGAAGGACCTTTGTGATGTTTTGAAGTGCCCAAGGTGTCTGTTTCCAATGACAGGCGTGTTCCTCCCTGTGTGTGTCCAGGCTGATCTGGAACAGAGCTGAGCGTGTGTGTCCCCCTGACCAGCCCTGCAGAAGTTGATGGTCAGGTCAGATGAAACACTGGCTTTGCCCTTTGAAAACACAGTCTCCTGCCAGATGTGTGCAAGGGAAGACCCATCTCCTCTCTCCAAAATGGGTTATTGTCTGGGGGAGGGAGGAGGTTGTAGGAGTTGGCTTGCAGGCACTGTGGGAAATGAGAAGAGGAGCACATCTGCCTGGCAAAGCCCCTTGCATTAGTGAGGATGTATCCTTTCTCCATCTCTCTGTGTCCTAAATTGTAATAACACGATCATGCTATTTTTGATTCCCTTATTTGCGTGGAAAGCCTGTTGTTTTTCCTCTTCTCTTTCAGAATCCAATTTTCTCTTGACATTTCTGCCTAATGTAGCAAAACATGACCTTTGAGAAAGGACATTCCAGCGAGATTCACTCCCTCCTCTGCATTTCTGCCTCTCTCCCACATCTCGCTGTCTCTCATGCATCCCCTTTACGCTTCCTTCTTCTCCCTGGGCTGGGGGAGGGAGTTTTCTGTCTCACTTTTCAGTAACAGTGAGTTTGCTCCTTCCCCTCCCACTTTTCATCTGTCTTTGCAAAATTTCCAGGTGCTCAGTGCTCTGGGGTAGATAAAGGAGGGAGTCTTGTAATGTTTTCCTTCCCCCCTGCTTAGCTTTACTTGCCTTTTTTGCCAGTCTTTATCAGAGACTGGAAGGAGTTTGCCTAGAGACGTGGGAATGGTGGGATCACAGTCATGTGAAATGAGGTACCTGTGGTTTGCCGTGGTTCCCACAGCAGGATAGTCTGATGTGAAGCAGAGCCAGAATTTAAAAAGGCAGCACTGTGCCATCATTGTGTTTGGGCTTGTTCTTCTGCCAGGCTTGTGGAGAGCCTTTGGGACAATGCTTTGCTGTGTGAGCAGCTTCCCCACTCCTAATTGCAGAGCTCTGTGCAGGTGGGACAGGACCAGAATTGCTTTCCCCTTGCTGAAACTCAGTGTAAGGGAAGAAATGAATTTGTCATTCCAAATCCTTGTGCATTAGACTTGTGCCAGCAGGAGCCATTCAGGGGTTTGCTCTCTTGATTTGAGCACTTATTTGCAAATCAGACAGGGTTTGGGGGCTGGGCCTTGCACTGCTGGACTGCCTCAGGTCATGCCTCCTCTCTGGCCAGCCCAGAGCTGAATGAACCTCAGGTGATTCATGCCTCTGGCTCTTCATGGCTCCTCTGTGGGCCAGGCTGAGGCAGAGGGGCTGCCCTGCCAGCCTGTGGCTCTCAGCAGGGATGGATTTGGTGAAGGATGTGGGGCAGCACCTGCTGTGTGTTCTGGAGGCCAGCAAAGAGATTGGGCATTTGGGGTTCTCCCAGAGCCTGGGATCACCGGTTCCTCTGCTCACTCACCCCATGGGCTGGTCACTTGATTGGTGGCTCTCAGGCTGGCCAGGTGTCCCTGGGAAGGCTGGCCACAACAGAATGTGTTTCATTACCATCTTTTTGTGATGTTAGAAACTGGGGGCTTTTCTCCATCTGCTCACCCTGCTCCAGACACATTTCTTCCTCTTGTATTTATTAATCCAGTTCCTTTTACATTCTTTCATCCTCTCTGGCTTTCAGCTAAAGAGAAGATGTCTGCTGGGTTGCAAAGCTCTCCCAGGTAGATGAGATTTATGTTTTTGGAAGTTTGGGCAGATGGAGAGAGGGATGGGGAGCTGTTGGCTGCTGTAGCAGTGGTACCCCTGGGTGCAAGCAGCACACAGCCATTCCGGGACACCTGGAACACACAGCTACTGCAGATCATATGATAACACCTTGGGTAATCATCGTGCTGTCATTTGAACCTGGCTGTTACTATTTTTAACGTGAGGTTTGTACTTAATTTTTTGTTCAAGTTCTGAAATTAGACTTGTTCTTTTTGCTTATGGTTGGTTGAGCTCCAGATCCATGGGTAAGAATCAGACATTGAATTTTTTTTTTTTTCCTTAACATTGCAGCAGGATATAAATCATTTTTCCTCTAAAAAAAAAAAAAAAAGAGAGATGAGAAACTTTCATTTGGGTTTGTCCTCATTAAAATCTCTCATTATGAAATCTGAACTTGAGTTCTAAACTGCTTGACAGCCTCCCCATTGAGGAGGACGATGAGCTCTGTGGAGGTGGCAGGGCCATGTGCAGGAAGAATTATTTACAGTGACTACTTTTTTTTCTTTTTTTTTTTTCCCTTAATTTTCAGAGACCTCTCCGGGAACCGGCTCACCACTCTGTCATGGCAACTCTTCCAGACACTGCGACTCTTTGAACTGTAAGTCCCACCCTGGGGTTATCTCCTGGGATAAGACTGGAGGCTGAGAGGAGGAACAATTTCCAAATAGAGCTATTTTGAAGCCAGTGAATAATTACCTAAAACTCCAGTGGGCAGCAACATCCTTGGGAGGCTTTCCTGGGTATGGGAGCACCAGAGCAGAACTGCTTCTCTTTTAACTTCACAGCAGCTGGCTAATTAACATTGGGATGATGAACAAGTCATGCTCAGAGTAGTAAATGGTTGACTAACTCTGGTAGCACATTAGAAATACTTACTAGGCCAGATTTTGAGTGAATCTCTTCGAACACTTGCTCTCATCTGTCGCAGGGTAGGGCTAACTGCTTTTCTTTAGCTGGTGCACATGCTTTACAAGACTGCTTTTTAGGCCCATGATTCCCTCTCTCTCTAGCAATGGGGACACCTCCCAGCTCTGATGTGGGAGGTGATGATACAGCTGTGTCTCCTGGGGCACTGGTGGCCTTCAGCCTGCTGAATTATTGATGGAGCATTCAGCATCGTGCTTGAAGAATAAGTGGACACGAAATCAATGGAACGTTGCCCTGATGACCTGTTTTGTTGAATTTTAGAAATAGTTGTTTGGTGGGTATAAAAAAATATATATGTAGGATTTGTCCCAGAGGATCCTGGGAAGCTCCATTCATCCTCACCCATGATCAATAGAGCTGTAAGCTAGAAGTGACTTATGAAAGAATAAAGACAGTCTTTCAAGTGGGAGTAAGTGTGTTATCACCGGTGTTACTGCAGTGTATTTTATTTCTGTCAAATTGTTAAATGAAAAATACTAATAGTGATATTAGAAAATGGAGAAACGCCCTTCTGATGGGGAAATTTGGCTTGCAGAGTTAAAATGCTGAATTCAGAATTTGTCTCCTTGCTGATTACAGCTCTAAATATTTTTCAAGTCTGGCTTGGGTTTCAAGTTTAATAGCATGAGTCATTTGTATTCTTAGACCTTTACTTATTGTCATTGCACTGTCTGGCAAAACTCAGATTGATGATTGTTACCCAAGAGAGACCCAAGAGTGGAGGAGCAAATGGGGCTGCAGTCCTGAGCTGGAGGCACTTGCAGGGCCTGGGGTAATGGTGTGCCTGCAGATTAATGGGAATACTTCCAAAGGGGCTCGTTTTTATGTGCTTTTGCTTCATTTGGTCATATTTTGTTTCTTCAGGCACGTCCCAGGTCTGCCAGCTCCAGCCGGGCTCAAAATACCAATACCAAGCACAAAGGGAATTGAGAACCTGCTTTTTGGGCAGCAAAGGGTACTTCACCTGATGAATACATCTGTATTGGCCTGATATGATCATGCTGGCAGGGAGCTGGTGTGCTTGGGGTGGCTTTGGATGGTGTCAGCAGGGTCACCTGGGGCCAGCACTCTGCAGTGTGGCAAGCAGGAAGGAGCTGAATTACTTGGCTCCAGTTGTAGCCGTGCTCTGAGTGGTTTTCTTGGAGATAAGAAACCCCTGTGAGCAAAAGAAGTGGTGCACAAAGAAATGTGGGAGGTCACAGGGCTGGTTGGTAGGAAGCCATGATGGGGTGGGAAAGCAGTGCTGGTGAGGTGTGTGTTGTCCATGGTGTCCCACAGAGAGGTTTGGCATCGTGTGGGGCAGGAGCCTCAGCTGAACCTTTCCTGCTTCAGGCTGTGGAAGGTGTCTTGGCAAACCAAACTCTGGCACCAGCTCCAATTTAGCAATTTAAACCTACAAATGTGCCTGCCCACATTTAAACCTACAATTTAAACATTACAACCTAGCAATTTAAACCTACAAAAGGGCCTGCCTTGCTGTTGGCTGGGCTGGAGTAAGAGCATGGTCAAGTTCATTTTTCCTAAAGAATTGCCTTAGGTGCTTCCTGACAAATGTTCCCCTATGAGTTCCTTGTAAGTAAGGACCCTTCATCCACATAAGCGCAGCTAGGATGGAGATTACCAGAAAAATGTGGTGATGCACAAGCATCAAACACGACAGGAGTAGGATATTTTATCTGATAGCACTGGGTTGTCAGTTTTTAAGGGGCAGGGGGATGTGCCTGCAGTGTCCTTCCTGGGGCCATGCTGAACCTTGCAATTGTTGTAAAGAAGGCAGCAGAAAGGTGTAGCATGAGCTATGGGCTCCGAATTATAATTCATATAAAGATGTTGGGAATTAAGGTAAAGACATGTTGCCTACTGTGAGGTGGTTGTGGTCCTGACTGCTAGGATGGGACCTGTTGGTGAGGAAGAGCAGATCTCCAAGATGGGGAGAAATTACTAATGGATGCACAAAAGTGGGAAACACTGTATTTTTTTTTTTTAGAAATGCAGAGGATGGGTGAGTAAGAGACAGTTTTTTGGCACACTGAGCTCCAAGGAGGCTTCCAGAACCTGGGAGGGAGATGGAATACATGGCCCACATAAAGTGAGTGTGAAACGCTGGTGAAAGCTAGAAAGGGAGATGCAGATTGACATCAGCCAAGGACTTGAAATTGAGCCAAAACTCTCTGGAAAGGGAGAAGGTGGTGAGCAGCAGAGGCCAATGCAGAGCCTGAGGAAGGCAGGCTGAGCAGCAGTGTTTGTGCACAGCAGGGCAGAGGCCAGAAGACTCCAGGGACACAGAAAAGCTGGAAAGAGTCCCCTCTTCTCCAGAGGGTTACGTCTGTGTGGAGGGTTGGTGGAACAATTCAGTGCAGAGGCTCACCAGAGATGTCTTATGCTGAGTTCCAGTGCCCTTGTGCTATCAGGAAATCATGGATCCAGAGGAAGGAAAGTCATCCAAGCCAAAACCGTGACTTACAATGAGGCAGCAGTGGAGCATGTGGTGAGGGAAGCGGTGGGAGGATTCTCTCCAGGAGGGTGCCCTGGAGGAGAGGAGCTACAACTGAGTGTGACATGGAGATTGCCAAGGAACATGAGACCTGACAAAGCCACTCACAGTGAACAACGAGGAGTAAAGATCAGAAGAGTACTGGGCAGGTGGATGGCAACCTGGGGCTTGAAATTGCTGCTTGGCTGCATCCAAGGCATCGCAGCCTCATGAACGTGTATTGCTTTAAAGAAGAATATCTTGTTCAACGGAGCTGAGATTCTCCCCTGCTGACTCACTGAAGAAAGGATGGCAAAAATGAGGCACGCTTCCAGAGAATATTATCTCTTACTCTTTCAGGCTAGAAACAAGGCTTGGAATGGTCTCCAGTAACTCCAGTCCTAATTCCCATGGCACAGGCTGACCTTGACCAGCAGGGCTCAGACTAATGAGCACACAACTCTCCTAAGTCTGAAGCTGAGTGTGTGCAGGAAAGCATCTGACACATGCAACAGCTCATAAACGTTGGACTTAGAGCTTTTCTTATCCAGAAGTCACAGCTGGTTTCCTCTGTCATGTCCTTGGCTTCCTTTGTCATGTCCTCAGAGAGCTTAGAGCTGACATTTCAAGAAATTCCTTCCCGGAAAGACCTAAGACTCTGGATCCAATTACGTCTTTGGTTGTATAAAACCTTGTAGTCCTGAACATCTTGCTGCTCTGCCCGACCCATCAGCATTTCTAATACCAGCAGTCCCTGCCAAGTTGCCCTGCAGTACACTTCTGCAATGCTACAGCAAGAGGCTTTGGAGGGGATGGGGCACAGCAGCATCTCTGTTAATGTTTTGAGTCCAACTTAACATGGTCTGTGCCTCCAGCTTTGAAACTTATCACCACCAGCAGTCCCAGTAATAGAGCTGTGGCCAGTGGGTGCTTGCCTGCTCTCTGCATTAGCTGAGCCAGCTGTCAGACAGCACACACCACTCCCTGCCCCAGTCCTGCCCTTTCTATCCCAGCCCCTTCTGGCAGGGGTTCAGAAATAACAGTTTAGGTTGGATCACCAAGAGAAACTCTGGTTCTGGGAAATTAATAGGAATAAAAAAATTAGATTTTGTTCCCTCTCTGCCGAGTGCACTTTGCTTGTCAAGCTTAGGGAAGTGGCCTCAGTCCCAAGGTAGGAAGAGCATTTTAATTGCAAGAGTATGAAACCTTGGCAGGAATTTTATGTGAATTGAAACAGACAGGAGAAGTGTGGCAAGGATCTCTGCTGCCCTCTGAGAGGTTTTAGCTGCAGACAGCTTTGCTTTAGCTGATGAGTGGGGAGACATGGGACAGGGTGTGTGTCTCATTTAGCTGCCTAGTCTGGAAAAAACTGCCTGTGTGTGTGTGAAGTCCTTGCCTGTTCCAGAATACACTGGAGTGTTGATGGCATCCCACACTGGTCCACCCTGATGAAGGCTGTCCAGACAGTTTTGGGAGACAGTGGGTACAGCTCACTGCAGGGAGCAAAGCTGGGCTCAACCAGGCGCCAGCAGCATCACTTTTGAAGAGTTGTCTTGATGCCTGCATGCTCTAGGGTTTCAGTTTTGATGGGTCATTGTCCCATCAAATGACAGCTCATGGCATGATTGGCACAATTTTCCTCTTTCCCAAACACAGTGTGCCTGTTTAGGGAAGGGGCTGTGCCCTGAGTACACCCTGCTGATGGTGCTGGTGGGTGGCTCTGTCTCAGGTGGAGGTTCAGCCCCTTTTTGGATGAGCTCCTTGAGTGACAGAGCAGCTCTGCTTGTGCAGAGCCCAGCTCCCATGAGGCTGTGATATTTGCTATTTCTCACAGGCGTTCTCAGTTTTAAGGAGGGCTGAAGAAGGTGTGGGGGTGTGCACGGCTCCTGAGTGCCTGCAGCCAAGTGAAGCTTTGGCAACAATTGCAGCCTGCATGCAAAAATTGCCCTTTGGGTTTGTTTGTTCCTTCCAGGAGTAAGTTGTGCTGGATGTGTCTCACAAAGAGCCCCTTGTCTCAGTTCTCACTGGGGTGATGCTGCACCCATGGTCTGCTGCACACTGCAGTGTCCTCTGGTCCAACAGTGTGTCTTGTCCAAAGAGCACCTTGTGGTCCCCAAGGTGCTTCTCCTTCGTGCAGGAAGAGAAGGTGCATTTATGTCCACAAGCAGGGGGTTGTAGGTAGTGGAGGTGTTTTACAGAAAAGTGAGAGGAAGAGCTGGAAGCAGCTGCAAGGTCCCTGCAAGGGAAGGAGTCTGAGGAGCGAGTTGGAGGTCCAGGTTTTTTGGATGGATTTAGGATAGTGTGAGTCTGGAGTTCCCTATGCACCTCTCTGGGGAGCTGGCTGCCGTGGCAAGGCACCAAGCAAGGAGGAAAGGGTATTTTCCACATGTTGGGAATGCTTTAGCAATGCATGTTAGGGACAATGGGTGCACACATGTGCCCCTTCTACCTGCAGAGCTGTGCCAGCTGCCCCTGGCACTCAGCACATCCAGCCTGTGAGGGGAGTTAATTTGTGCAAAAGCCCCTCTGGGGGTCTCGATTAGAGCGAGTTCCATCGCTGGTGTTGGGGCAGGTTGTGGGGAAGTTCTGCCCTGAAGCCCGTGGCTCCTGGATTATTCATGGCCCTTCATGAATTAGCAATGGTCTGGGAAAGCTGCTGTCTATTACTTACAGAGCTGCCCTTAAGTGCTGGGACAGCAGCTCTGCCAGCAGCCTCGTTTTGTGAGGATATTTGCAGGGGAGCAGAATTCCTCCCCCATTGCATCTGAGCTCCCCCAGCTCCCTGCCAGCTCCCAGTTCCTGATCTGCCATGGCTCTTACCCACACACCATCCCATGTCCTGCTGGTATCAGTGATTCTGGGGGGCTCCTGAGAAGGAGATTCATGGTCATGTAGAAGAGGATGTAAAAGCCTGTGCAAAGCCCTGGCAGTACCTGTCAGAGCATGCAGGGAATGTCTCATCACTCAAATCCCACCAAATCACTGTGCTAATCTGCTCTGGCCTGTTAAATTTAGTGCTTTGGCCTTTGAGTTGCTTGTCTGAGCCTTGTACCTGTGTCACAGAGGTTTATTGTGCTTTTGGTGGGAAAGAAATGAACTAATGAAAAGCCACAGAGTGCAGCTTAACTCAGTGTTTGCTCTAGGAAAAAAATAAAGTCAGATGACATCTTGATGTATTTGAAAATGCAAAGTGGCATCATTAGGGCTCAGGTTTAGCAAGCCTGGGTGCTACCAGAAGACCCCTTCAGCTCCTCCTTTTGCAGCACTGTATTGACAAAACAGCAGCTGCAGATGTTTGGAAGGTTCTTTCCAAATCCTGTTAGTCAGTGAAATTAATTTTGTAAAAGCAAGCATGAATTTTGCAGTAACACATGGAACAGAGCAGGAAAAAAGCTTTCCCCTGTATGATGGGGGATCTAGATATCATGTGGAGCAATGGTTTGACCTTTGGGGATGCCCTTCTGCTTTGGGGTGGCTGAGCTCATCTTTGGCACTGCTGGCTCTGCTGATCCCAACTTTCTTTGCTTTACAGATGTGTGGGGAGGTATTTTGTTTGTTCAGGCTGTATCTCCTAGTTTTGCTCAAATTATTGTTGCAGATATCTTTGGTAACTCAGTCCTGGTTGAGCCCAGGGCTCTTCTCCCTGCTGGGACTTGCCCTTCTTGCATGTCCACAGAGACCTGCAGAGCTTTTAAAATGTAAATAAAATGGTTAATAGGTTGGAAAATCAATTATAATAAACATTCCTGGTATATAAACCATGTGTAAGTGTGGTTTAAATGAAGTACATTAAAGGCAGTGCTTTTCTCCATTTCTCCTGGCCAGGTCAGCAGGGTCTCAGCACAGTGCTGATTGATTTGATTAAAATGCATGTTCCCCTGCACATTAGCTTGTGTTCTGGGTCACCAGGAGCCTGTGTCTGTACAAGGAACTTGGGAGAAGAGCTGCCAGGTTCTCTGAGTGCTTGTGGGGGCCTGAATTGTGCTTTGCCCAGCAGAGTCTAGGACCACCACTGAAGTGGGATTTGAAGGTGTAAATCAATATTTTAGGGCAGTAGAGAACTCTCTGTTCCTTTGCTGAGGGGTGACTCTTTTGGGTGTCTGGGTGACAGTGGGACCAAGCCACAGTAGTGCAGATCTTGTGGTGAGAAACAGTGACTGCATGCATGTGCTGCCCTGGGAGATGTAAAACCTTGTGGGCCCTCGTGAAGGAGATTGTGTGAACGCATGGATTTGTGACTGTGGAAAAGACAGGAATAATAAGTGCCAGAAGACCCCAGGCTGATAATGGGGAAGATTCTACTCTAGCTCTTACATGTGCATGGTAGCCCTCCTTCTAGAAGATTCCAGAGCCAGGTGACAGCTCTGCTCATCCTTCCCTATCCCACCATCCTCTCTCACCTCTCTCTGCCTGCAGGAGACTAGAGAGGAACCTTTTTAACTGCAGCTGTGACATCCGCTGGATCCAGCTCTGGCAGGAGAAGAGTGAGGCAAACCTGCAGTACCAGGATCTCTACTGCATGACCATGGATGCAGCCATCATCACTTTGAAGGAGATGAACATCACCCAGTGTGGTAAGGATCCCTGGGCTGGACATGAGGGAGGCCAGGAGGGATCCCTGTCCAGTCCTGCACCTCTGGTTCAGCTATTTTGGAAACCTGATGTAGCAGGATCCCACCATGTGGTTGAGAACAAGAAGTTTGGAGCTGGTTGGGATATTTGCAGATTAAAAATAGAATATCTAGGTAAATGTGAGGCTGCTATTAATGTGCCTATGAAAGATATTGGGTGATTTGGGGCATTTTCTTCGCTGCATTGTTGCTGCTTGACAAAATGTCTGTAGTGAGTCTGTGTGATGTCTTGAAAAGAGCTGTTTCATGTAGATCTTCCTGTGCCTAACGAATCCTAGAAGCAGCATATTGTTAAAAGACACTGCCACTGAATCTTTTGTAATTACTCTTAGGAAATACATGTCTCTATTCATTTTCTTTTGTTTTATTTTTCAATTGAAATCCCATATCTGTAGGGAAGAGCCAGAAGTGACTTTATATCTCTTTCTATTTCCTGCTGATGTTTAAAAGAGTCCAGCAGCCAGGAGCAACACGAGGCATGTTCAATAGCTATCCCTTTTTCCTTCACCTTGTTCACACATCAGCTGCCTGTTTGGTGTCAGGTTTTGCTCTGCTATTGCTATTACTGGAAAGCATCCTTTGCAGAGTAAGGAAAAAGAGATGTACATTCCACAGAGCAATTAAACCGTCTGTACACAAGCAGCTGTCAAACTCACAGGCTGAAAAAAGGAGGAAAACCAGATTTTTATTTTTTTTGTAATCATCCTCTGTACTAGGGATTTGGGCTTGTTACTTGTAACAGTAGTAGACAAACAGCATTCACGTTTGGATTTGCATGACTTGTTTTTTTGTTGTTTTGTTGGTTAGTTTTGTTTTTTTTCCCCCAAGCTCACCCTGTCCCTTTAAGCTCTGGAAATTGGCCAAAATGTGCCTTCGTGTGGATGAACTAAAAAGATTTGAGAGTGCTGTAATTTCCGCCCCACATGGGATGAATAAAATGAAAGGATTAAACAACACCAAAAAACAACCTTAGGGTTCAGGGACAGGAGGAGAGATGGCTCAGTCAATGGTGGCATTAGACTGCAGGAAACAGCAGGGTGCTGATTTGGGAGTAAAAACATGCTGGTGTGCAGGGTAAGCACCTCCTCTGACCATGCAAACTCCTGGAAAGCAGGAAGGCACAGTGGTCTGCTTTTCTCCAGAGGAATATTTCTGTTCAAGCATTAAGACTCCAGGGTTGTTGTAAGGAGACCACATTTATCCTTGTCCTTTGGTGCTGAGGGCAGGCATGGCTTGGTGTAGCCATGTTTGATACCAGCTCAGCCTGGAGAAGACCACACGTGTCCTTCCCATCTCCCTCTCCTCTATTCCTGCTGTCTATGCAGCTTTGCCAGGTCTTGACTGCTGCTTTCTTTCTTCTGGCATCCCCCCAGTCGGTACAATGCTCCTTCCTTCCTGGTGTCACTCTCTGTTGGCCATGAAGGGGTGTGTGTCCCCATCTTTGCCTTGGCATGGTGGATGCTGCTGCCCTGTGATGGGGCACTGGTCAGTTCACCTGTCCTGCTTACTCAGTTTGCTTCTGAAAACATTCCCTGTTCAAGAAGACTCTTTGGCCTTCTTGCAACCAGCGCTGTCTTGTTTCACGTTGCAAGGATATTTGGTGCCTGTGGCACCGAGTAAGGAACTGGTGTAAATCAGAGCCACCATAAATCAGTGACTCCCTCTGCTACCACCCAGGAAGAACAAGGGCACCTTTTATTAGGAGAGCTGCAGTTAATGTGAGGACACATCCTTGGTTGTCTTTTCTTGATTGTTATAAATTAGAGGGACACTTTCTTCACCTGCAATGCTGAGTGCTCTGTGCCTTGTCCCTGGGGGTGGGGATGCCTTGGATCCTCTCCCAGTACACACAGTTTTCTCATCCCAGGTGACTGCCCTCGTGAGCAGCTTCTGTGGGAGTAGAGAGATGAGTACGGGGGTTGTGTGAGAGGAAGAGTGACCAGAATTGGACAGCAACTTTTGGATTCAAAGCTGATGAGAAGGTCTGCTCAGCTGGCACATCTCCAGTGTCTACATTTCCCCCTGTCCAACACCCCTCCTTTTCTTGGTAGGGCAAAGCTGTTCTATTGCCTCATGCTCAGCATCTCAGGGTGCTGGAGGCTGGTTTGGAAAACACCTTGGTGGGATCTATGTCCACACTTCCTGTGGCTGGCTGTAGAAAATTCTGTCCCAAACCTGAATGGTTTTTTTTGGCCCCTCTAGACCTTCCTGAGATCAGTGTGAGCCACGTGAACCTGACGGTGCGGGAAGGGGAGAACGCTGTCATCACCTGCAACGGCTCAGGATCGCCGCTGCCGGACGTGGACTGGACAGTGGCTGAACTCCACTCCATCAACACCCACCAGGTAGGGACTGCACCACCTCAGGGCTGCCTGTGCCCAGTGTGGCAAGAACAAAGCAGCTGACGAGGTTTCCCAGGTCCATGCATGCAGGCTCAGGTGGATGGTATGGGAAAAGAGAAATTGTTGTATCCAAAGGAAAGCTGAAGCCATGCTCTGTCCACATGAGAAGCTGGGGTCTCCCAGAAGGGAGCAAAACCTTTCCTCTGTATGGCTGGAAAGTGAAAATGAGAGAGTTTCAGAGCTCAGTGCTCCCTGATTGAATTAATTCATGTGTCCTCTGATGGAACTCCAGTGAAACTACCTGTTTGCAATAGCTAAGTAAGATTTTCTAGAGGCTGGCCATGCTTATCAATGCTACAATGCCATGGCTCTCCCCTTCCCAGTATTTCCTCTTACAAGATATGGTGTGTTTGATCAGGTGAGGAAATACCTCCCTTCACCCAGATCTCAGCTGTCTTTGGATTTTGGAGAGCTCCTCACACAGAAACTGCCATCCTCCTTTTCTGAGGGCGGTAGAGGGGAGGAAAGGAGCCACCGGATAGTGATTTCTGTCTGCATTTCTCTCTGGGATTTTTAGACCAACCTCAACTGGACCAATGTTCATGCCATCAATTTGACCTTGGTGAACGTCACCAGCGAGGACAATGGATTCCTGCTTACCTGCATTGCTGAGAACGTGGTGGGGATGAGCAATGCCAGTGTGCTGCTCACTGTCTACTGTAAGTACCAGTGGAGAGACCTTGTCCATGCAGAGCCCAGAGGGGCTGCCCTGGGAGCTGTTTGAATGCACAGCACTTGCTACGCTTGTCTCATACTGGTTTTGTGGGTGAAGATTAGGAGGAGCTGAGCACAGTGAGACAAAGGTGGATCCTCACGCAGCTCTCTGTCTCAAATGCCAGTAATTTTGCTTTCCTGATGCTTCCATTAATCCAGAAATGAGCACAAGAGCGGGGAAGGAGCAGCAGTGCCACAGTGGTGGTGGTGGGCATTTCCTGCCTGTGTCTTGGAATATTCAATAGACTAAAGGAAAGCCATAGAAGGGACTCAAAATCTCTTAACAAACACAAAGTTTCTTGTCTAGATGCTATGTGAGAGGTTCAATAGCACCCTTGCTAAAGACAGTTTAAAACTTGCCACTAATTTTAGGGATGTTCATGCTTCCTCTCAGGTCAGATCCTACAAAGTTAAACTGCAAAGGTCATATAAATGTGCACGTGTCAAATTTGAACTGTTCACTTTTATCTGCAAGTAGCTCAACTTTCTTTGTGCTTTCTAATATAACAAAACCCTGACCTTAAAAGGAAGTTTACACAGCTTTGTGGTCTCAAGAAGCTGAGATTTGCTATATTTTGCTGTGTCTGTAATATTTGCCCTTACTCTGGAGTTTGAAAATCTCTTCCCCACCCCCAATCTTGCCATGTAGAGCAGAGAGCCTTGTGGGATTCTAGCTACTCTTGGTAAACCCATGCATGCTGTGTGATGCTTTACTACTTTCATCTTCCTTCCAGTAAGTGCTATTGATGGATTGAAGGATGGGGGTAATTAAAGTTCAGCCCAGCTCAGAGCTGACTCGTCAGCAGACAGGTGTTTTTTGCACGGTGTTTTAGCATCTGTTCCGCCACACCTTAAGTTATGCCCATGCTTATTTTCACCTGTGAAATCCTCTAAGCTGCCGACAGATTCTGCTACCCTTGCTCTTGTTGCACAGAGCCATCACTCAGGCTGTAATTTCACACTGAAAAGATCTGGGTTTGTGTGTGTAGGTGGCTGCCTGTTTTGAATCCCCTTGCCAGGAAGATATGAACAAGCCACATGCAAATCTGGGCTTGTGAACGAAAGAGGGTGGCTGGGACACGACTGTGTGGTTCAGGGTAGATGGGCGCTGGTGGGAGAATTTTGCTGAGCTCCAACCAGCTCTGCACCTTCTTCTCTTCTGTCACCTTCACTGGCTTAAAAATTCACTGTCTTTTCTCACAAAGACGGGTTTGAGTTGGTATGTTGGCTTTCCTCCTTTGTGGGTGTCCAATGGATTGTCATTGCAGCTGGATGGAAAAGGAGAGTTTTAGGGAAGACACACATCTTTGTGTCATGTATCTTTGCACAAAACTTGTTCTTCTACTTCAGACCTTGCCAGCCTTGGGGTTTGGGACCTTATGTGTAGGCGCTGTAAATGGGGTTTCAGAAGCTAGAGCAGAGCAACATTTGAATTCTTGGTGTGTCCCAAGGGGAAGACAATGCATATGCAATAAATTGCAGGTGGAGTTCCTGCTTTTCTTATCCCTCTCCCACTCTACTCCCTTTAATTAAAACACCCCTGGAGGCTGTTCGGCGAGTGAGAGCTCCTTTGGGATATTCAGGCAGTCGATCCCTTGGGGGAAGGAGAGCAGCAGTAGATTTGTGGACTGGACAGTTCAAGTGTAATTGTTTCTGGGCTGGTGAAATTTCCATCCCTGTCTTTAATTTATACCCCTGTTTGGAAGGCCAAGAGGCCTGGCCATGGCTCAGACCCTCCTTTGAGGGAGGGTTGGAGTGGTTCTCCTGACAGTGCTGCTTCTTTACAGCCACCCATGGGAAGAGTAGAAGGAACAAGCGATTTTGGAGGTTTTCAATGCTCGTAGTTTCCGTGGTGCACAGAGCGGTGGCGTTGGGTGGAGGTTGCTGTGAGCCTGCCATGTTTCTCTCTGCTAGATCCCCCTCGCATCCTTACTCTGGAGGAGCCGGTGCTACACATGGACCACTGCATTGCATTTGCAGTGCATGGGAACCCAGCTCCCACCCTTCACTGGCTGCACAACGGCCAGGTCCTCCGCGAGACAGAGATCATCCGCATGGAGTTTTACCAACAAGGGGAAGTGTCTGAGGGTTGCCTGCTCTTCAACAAACCCACTCACTACAACAATGGCAACTACACGATTGTGGCTACCAACCAGCTGGGCTCAGCCAACCAAACTATCAAAGGACACTTCCTTGAAAAGCCTTTTCCAGGTAGGATATTCAGTTTATCTCATCAGGGCTCCTTGCAATCCAAAGGTCTTACTATGGCCCTGCCAGTAATCTTTGCACCTCAACAAGGCCTTGACAACCCTTGTTGGCTTTGTCTGAATATCAGGTTGGAAGAGGTGACCCCTGGCAGCCTCTTCTGACCAGTGTGACTTCCCTACACAAGTGTAATTTGCTGTCATATGAACTCCTTAATGCTGGGAGAGGTGTTAACTGCTTTAGATAATTTTATTTTGCAACATGTTCTGCAGTGTATTTTTTTATTTATTTTAAAGACCTTTAGGAATTTCAGTGGGAATAGGATGTGAGTTTAGCCAATTATTTTGGATCTCCTTTTGTGTGCCCCAAAGATGTTGCTGAGTTTTTACTAGGGAAAGTGTTCTGCTGTGTGGTAGTCATAAGCTATAGAAAGGGAAAGCCTTTGAAGTGATGCAGGCTGTCCCTTTGGTTTTTTCACTTCTAGCTTGCATTTGTGAAATGATTAAAGCTGGATGCAGCGGTGTCAGGATTGTTTTCTTTCCAAATGCAATATGTGCAATTCCAGGATGACAGGGCTACAAAAGATGCGACAGCTCAATTAGTCACTTTGCATCAGTTTGCTGGGATTTCTTAACTGATTGCTTGGAATTCCCTGTTGTACTCCCTGGTGATTCACAGCTTAAGTGCAAAAAAAAAAAGCATTTGAGGACATGAAGATCTATCTCTGGGAAGTGCCGTAGAGACTTTTGTGGTGGCCTGTCTGCTCCATAGAAGCATCTTGGTCTGTTCCCTGACAGTGCAGCACCACACTGGCCATCATGGAGTTAAGATCTGTGCTGCCTTCAGGAATGATGCCATGAGAAAGTGGCAGCTCTAAATTGGCCCCTGCAGCCCAAGAAAATCCAGCAAAATAGGGCGTTTGCTAAATATAGCAAAATACCAACGGTACTCTCATTTATTATTTATATCACACCATATATGTACACAGAGTTTTCCCGCAGGTCAAATATCATAAATGCAAACCCAAATCTCTGCCTTGAAGATCTGACAATTGAACAAATGAGCTGATATGGATGGGAGTGGAAAATTTGTGTTCTGACTTCAAGGATGCTGCCCTGTTTGACTATCTGACCTATTTATGTTTCCTTCTGTCAGGGCAGAAGAGCTAATCAGATGTGGGTGGGTGAGGAGAGGTGCACAGGTTTGCAGTCTCAGCTCTCCTAGGTCCCACCTTTGTGACTCAGTTTCCCCATCTGTGAAATGGGGCAGCTCCTAAGTAGGTGCTGGGCCTGCAGGAAAGGGGGCAGATACGCTGTTCTGGAGAGCTGATTTTGGAAAGGGATCTGAGCCACACTCTGGTGTGAAAAGCACACTGATGTTTGAGGAGCATCTTGTGTTGCAGGCTCTGGGAAAATAGGGTTGTGTGAATATATATAAAATATTTACCTTGTGAATGCAGCTTCACTCAAGCCTCATCTGCTGTTGGTGTGGGGTGCTTACTGACCCTAAACCATCTCTCAGCAGGGGCTGACCCATTTCCTTTATTTCTTCTGATCCAAAGTCCCAAGCCATCCCTCACCCTGGCAGACCCTGTCAGGCCAATGCAGGATGTAATTTACTTTCCTTCAAGCTTGTTGCTTCGTCCACTGCCACAGCTGACGTATACATTCACTGCAGCTGACGTTTATAATCTCCTATTTGAAGGTAAATTCCTTCAGAAAATGCCACACATTGAAGGCTCCCCTGTGGCTCATTCAAGCCCCTTGTTGCTTACAGCAATTCACACATGCAAAGGCTTTGCTGTCACTACCCAGGGTGAGATTATTAGTCTTAATTAATTAATGAAAGTACAGTGCCTGGACGGCTTCTGTCAACATAGAAAAGGACTTATGACCATGTATTTTAGAACTCCCTGGTCAAAAGCCTCTCATTGGTAAAAGGCCACACTGCTTTCCATGCTGAGAGGAGCAAGGTGCTGTTGAATCTGGGATCTGTGACATGTAAGCTCCATGCCATATCTGCCTTCTCTCTGATGCTGCAGGGCAGTGGCTCCCAGGACAGATTTGTGTCATTTCCTGTAAAAATCTCATTGCATGTTGTCATTGGTATCTCTGCCACAGTCTACCAACTCTCTATTTAATCCACAAAGGTTAATGTACCTGTGATGAGTGTTCAGTTTTTTGGAAACTTCTCACAGAACTCAAGTTGGATGAAATTTCTTGACTATTTTTTATGCTTGGAAAAACAGGGTTTAATAAAAAAAACAAACAAACACTTTTTTGTGCATTTCTGTTGAATTTGCTTAGTCCAGCAGAGCAAAATAGAAAGGGAAAAATGTAGAAGCAGCAAGAATTTTATTACTAGACTCTGCCTTAATAAAGAAGAAAACATCTCCAAATAAAATTTTTTTTTCTTTTTTTTTATTTCCCCCCTCTTGCTAGAAAAAGCCAAGGAAAGTCACTTGTCTGCTTGACTTAAAACAAAAATATTTGTTCACGTTTTTTTGCCCTGGTTTGGAAAGCCGTGTTTGTCACCTGGGGTTTGTTTAACTTCCCTTACAAACCTCACCCATGCTGCAGTGTGATTGTTTCAGCATCCTTCCAGGAGCCCTCTGCCAGCAAAGCTGTGTAAACTCCAGTTAAATCGGGCTCAGCTTTTTTCCACGGGCCAGTGAATTGGAAGCTGACGTGATTTTCACTCTGTGTAAACTGAGTGTCAGCGAGGGCTTTAGACCTCATTGTCTGGGGCCTCAGCCACCTCTGGAGCTGAAGGAGCTTTGCTGAATAGACTGGAGCAGTCAGCAGGCTGACAGCAGCACCTGCTGTGGTTGTCTTGGGCAAGAGGCGGCTCTTGGACAGCCACAGCCTCCATGTCCAGTTCAGAAGCTATCAGCTGTTCTGAGTGGCTCATGGAAGAGGTCTCCTCTAGGTCTCCTCTAACTCCCAGCCCCAAGCAGGGCTCTCCTCCATGGGAGCTGGTCCTCATCCTTGAAGGATTTTATCCATGGGTGCACACTGCCATGCAAGGCAAAATCTGTTTCTCTCCCCTCTACCTCCACCCTGCAGAGCCCTTTGTGTCTGCTGAGCTTTGCTCGCCTGCTGCAAGCAGGGTTGTTAACAAATCATTCAAAAGTGCTACTTGTTCTCCATTTTGGCCTCACAGTAGCATCCTTCCCCTCCTCTTTCAGCCCAAGGTTCTCCATCCTGACCTCCAGCATCTCCTGCTGGCACATGCACTGCAATTTCCAGGAACAGTTGCCCAAGAGGAAAAAATATCAGGAGTTGGTTTCCTGGGCTCTTTGGGGAGGTGGTGTATGTCTGAGGTGGGTGGGGAAGGAGACCCCTCCCTTTGCTGTGCTGCTAACCGTGTTGCTTCTCTTTGTCCTTTCCACAGAGAGTACGGACAACTTTGTCTCAAGTAAGTGTCTCCTTGCCTTTTCAATACTGTGGCTGGTTTGTTTCTGTGTTTTCCCCTTCCCCTCTGGGATTTACATAGCAAAAATGAGGAAGCCAGAAGCAGGTTGGTGGAGGTTGTGCAAAGCCCTGGTTTCCCTGTGCATGAACAAGATTGTTGGGGAGCTTGTGATCGTCTCAGTAATCTCATGAGACCAGGAGATGTTCATCTGCCTCTAGTGGCTTTCCAAAGAGGGTCCTACAAAGGAAATGAGGGTTGGTTGTGGTGTAGCAAAAGGGATCTTAATTTCATGCAGGCTGGGCTGTCCCCAACGACATCATCTCTCTGATGTGGGCTAGGATGAGAAGCAGCACTTGGTTGGGTTATGTTTCTTCAACAGATTCTTCCCTCCACCCCCCAAAAAACACATCATGCATCACACACCACAAAAAGCATTCAATTTTCTGTTTCTTCAGATCAAGTTTTGCTGGAGTCAGTTGTGTTTTAACCCCACTTAGCTCATTAGATTTCAGAAAACTAAGAAGAGGGCTCAAGGGTGGTGGGAACCTATTCCAGGACACCAGGCACCCAAATGTTTCTCATTTGTGAGTCTGGACCAACATCAGCATAGAGCTGGTCTGTGGTTTCTCTGCTGATGTGTACAGGGAACTCTCTGATGGTTGATTTGTGCCTTCTGAAACAGAAAGTTGCAGCCTCTTTTAGGGGTGAACTGAATCTCATTAGGCTGGGCACTGCAGTTGGAATGTGCTGGTGCCTTGGGAGTCCCATGGGAGCCACACTGAATTTTCTGTCTTTGGTGTTTTGGTTTCAGTCGGTGATTATGAAGTGAGTCCCACCCCACCGATCACTGTGACCCACAAACCAGAGGAGGACACTTTTGGGGTGAGTCCTGGTCTCTTCTCTACAGAACTGCCTTGCAATCATTCCTTGTTACTGATGACTCAGTATTTGTATTTCTCTGCTGTTTTGAGATGTTTGCAAGGAAAATCCCTCTTTTATGACTTGACAGCAATCAGAAGAATTTTGTGGCTTGTGTCAGGCAGGTAAAATACTGACACAAACCATCTGATTCTCTTGGGTCTGCAGTGTGGAACCAGGGAACTCTTTGAAAACACGGCATCCTGTGAAGTCTCTGCTGGCAGGGTCAGGAATTTTCACTCTAAAAAAGTATCACCCAGAGAACAAACAAACAGGCAATTGTGTGTTTTGGACTGTTATTGATCTGTTAAGCTTAGCCTGGTGAGGGACCTGGGTTTCGTTTGGTTCAATTCTGTTTGCCCTCTCTCCTGCTGTGCAGGACATGCCTAAAATGAAAAAGGAAAGTAAGTCTAGGGCTTATCAGATCTCAGCATTGTCTTTCTTCTGCAGAATCCTGGTAGGGCAAAAAGAAAAAAAAAGCGTGCATAAGTATTAGAAGAAAAAAATTAGCATGTTACACAATTGCTCTGATTCTGTGAAAGTTTTAAGATACTGAAATCCTTGAGGTGTCAACAGAATAAGCAAAACTCAGTCCACCCTGGTTTCAATTCTCATCTAACAGAAAACCTCCTTTAACTGAAGTGGAAGTTTCGAACAGTGAGGCTGGAGTAATAATGCGCACTGATTATTAAATATAGAGCACAGAAAACAAGCTGGGGATGAAAATAGAATGTGGTAAAATAAAAATTAAAAATATCATAACAAATGTACCAAGAACGGGGAAAAGGATTGCAAAATGAAATTACTTCTTCTTGGTTAAATGATGTATTTTCTATTATAGCAGAATACAGTTTTGTAAAAGGAAACAAAGTCTAAACGCATCACAAGACCTAGTACAGAACAATTGGACACATGCCAGAGAAATTGTTGTTTACATCAATGCAATAAAAGTAATTTGAGCAAAGACTTGAACGAATAAATATTCATAAATATTAAAATAAGCCTGGGATTGTAAACCCTTTAGGGCAAGGAGGTTTTCTTTCCCTGCTTGTACACTGCCACAGTGTAACCACAGCCCCAGTGAAGGACTTGGACATTGCTGTAGTATAAATATTTACTAGTAAAATTACAGTAAATAGGGAACTGTTAGAGGCTTTTGAAAAACTCAGATGTTTTATGGGGGAAAACTTCTTAGTTCTACTTAATTTCTTCTGTTTTCTCTTTGTGATGTGTTATTTTCCCTCACTCTGTCCCGAGGGATGTTTGGATGGAGGCAGAATTGTGTTCCCAGCTGAGCTTTGAATAGCTTTAGTGTTGTAATGTCATGGCAAAGAGGTGATGTCAGAAATGGAGGCTTGGGATGTGATGCATGAAGGGAGAGCCCAGGCATTGGAGCAGAGGTCTTTTTCCCCTGCAGATATAAGGAGTGAGAGGCTGGGGAAAACTGGTGCCAGAACAGCATCACTGATGGGGAGATCCCAGACCTCCCAGTCCTGCAAAAAGCCTGTAATGCCTCCAAGCTGTGCCAGGGCCTGCTGCTTTAGCTTGTGGTTTCCTCCATAGCTAATATCCACAGGGCTGCAGCAGCTGGTGTGAGCCTATGGAAAGGTTAACTGGGCAAGGAGGTGCTGTATTTCTGATTTAGACTCCTAAATTCCCCTGTGTTCACTCTAAGGCTTTTTCCTTCCAGGTTTCCATAGCGGTTGGGCTGGCAGCTTTTGCTTGTGTCCTCTTGGTCGTCCTCTTTATTATGATCAACAAGTATGGCCGGCGGTCCAAGTTTGGGATGAAAGGTAGGTGCAGTCGCTTTCCCTGAGCAGGAGGCACCTTCCAGGATTGTCCGGCTCTTGTAGCACTCGTGGAAAGGTGGTGTGGCTTTATTCCTACAGTGCAAAGCCCTCTAAAAGGAATGCAGTCCTCTTCTGTTTGTTGAGAGAGTAATGGAGACAAGTGGGCTGGTGGTTCTCGCCTCTGTGAGTGGGCAGAAGTGTGGATGTGTGTGATCTACAGGTTGTCCAGCAGGGCTTTCAGCCTGCTCCCTCCAGCCCTGCGTTGTGTTCAGGACACCATGGTCTTGGGTGAAATCTGTTTTATGGACTTGGTGGTGCACAGGCTCCCCCTGCACTGGCTGCAGAGCACAGGGTGTGCAGGGGGGACCAGAAGACATGAAATTGGTTTGAGTTCTGATGGGAAGGCAGGTGCAGCCACTCTGTGCCTATCTGTGAGTGGGGACCGAGATGCTGCTCTCACTGTATGTCCATACTGGGAAGGCAGTGGTGTGGAAGGTCTCTTTCTGATGACTCTCTGATGAAAGATTTCCCCCACTGTGTCATGAATAATGACTTGAGAAATTTATTTTGAGTGTCACTGATAGTGACTGGGAGGTGAGAAGGCGTTTGATGTTTGCCAGGCAGAGCTGGTCTCTGTCCTACCGACACCAGCTCTGTGATGTGACAGAGGCAATGCCAGAAGTAGATGAATCTGTGCCATCTGCTTTTTGTGACTCTGCTGGTATCTCCAGCTGGGCAGCGTTGGTGGTGCCCGGTGAAGGCTGAAGGAAGAGCCTTCACATGACAAAGTAGTTCCCAGCCTAGCTGGTGGCTCATGCATGCACTGTTTGAAGCCAGGCTTTGACAAACATGAGGCTCATGACTCCCCAGGCTCCCGAGTCACTGCCCGATTCCTGGGCTTGCTGTGGTCTGTGCTGCAGGGCAGGTTGATAGGTTTGGGAATGTTCCCTGCACTTGCCTAGGGTTTTGTTTTCTTCACGTAGACATTTCCTGAGTGGGTCCAGATGGGATTCTGGCTGGAGTTTCTCCTATGCATCCTATGGAGATAGAAGACAGGACATTTAATTAAATAGTGAATCTTCTACACCAACTTAGGAATATTTAGTCCATATGTCCAATGATAAGAACCATCTGGTGGAGTGTACTGACTGGTGGGTGGAGTAGAGGAATGGAAGACATGGTTCCTGGGATCAATTCCCAGCTCTTCTACTGACTCACTTAGTGGCCATAGGCAATTAGCTGTCTTAACCTCTGTCTCTGCTCTAATTTCCCCATCTGTAAAACTGGGATGATGTTATGTGCTTTCTGGAGGGATTTGTCAGAACACTTTGGAAGTGCTTGGGCACGTGCCACTGATGGAGCTTTGAGATACAGATATGAAAAGGAAAAGTAACATCTGACCCTTTGAGGAATGAAAGAGGAGTGAAGTGAGCCTAATGTGAGTAACGAGTCTTGGTGAGCAGATGTGTGTATGTGTTTGGAGGTGTTTGGATAAGTTTGTCAGTGGATATTCTGCATTCCCAGAAACCAGAGTGGTGCCGTGATGGGCCCTTGTGTGTGAAGTTTAATAGAGGCAAAATTGTTTAGCTAGAAATGTCCTCTTTCCTCCTCATCATGCCATGTTTCTTCCAATTCTGATATGTAGCCACAACCCTGCAAAGTTTCTGCAAGTTTTATTGGCTTTGCTTGGAGAAATGGAGTTGACAGAAGACAAATACATCTTCAAAATGAGGGAGATTATTAAGTCAATTGTCATAGACACCACTATAGTCTACTCACACTGCCTGAACCCTGCTCTGCTCAGTTAACTCTTGGGCAGGAGGCATCCTTTATGGCACCCAGTGTGTTATCATTTACTTAAGGAAAAAAAAAATCCAAACCCTGAGTCTTTTTGGGCAAGTGCATCTCTGATTCAGGAGCTGTTTGTTGCCAGCTGATATGTTGCCACTTGTTGTTGAAATCCCAGCTTGGCAGGCCTGCAGGAGCAGGTTTTTCCTGTTGATTTTGTCAGATGCAGAACATTGTGTGCTCTTGTTGGACATGTTACCTAAAACACCTCATGAGTCTTTCTGACTACATCTTTTTCCTTCTGCTTCTCCTAGTGTTGAGCAGATGGCTTATTTCCTAGAGAGAGGTGAACGTGGACTGACAAAGTTGGATGTCACGTTGGGTTTGGAAGGCTCCCTGGGCCAGCCTGCTGGATTGCCCACCAGCCTTAGAACCAGGCTGCCAAGTGTCCAACATCCCAGCTGCCTGTGCTGGAGAGAAACTCTTTGTGACTTGAGGGACGTGTGCTGGGAGAGGACTCCGAGGGGATGGCCTGTCCACCTTTGTCTCCTTCTGGCTGGTAGCACACCCTGGTAGCTCTGCAGCACAGTCCTGCCAGAGCCAGCCCCTTACTGCTCCAGCAGCAGTGAAAGCGGTGGGAAAGCCCGCGGAGCCAAGCGTGCCTTCGCCAGGCTGGAGCGCTGGCACCAACAAAAGCTCCTTTGAGAGCGGCTCTGACGCGCTGTGCTCCTCAGCTGAGCTCGCCCAGCCTGGCTCCAGGCCATCCCTCCGGAGAGGGCATTCATTAACACGGAATGGAGGAGGTCAGATCCCCTTTCTGGCTGCCTGTCGGCTTTGGCTGCTGGAGCCGGGAGGGAACAGGGGTGGGCTGAGGCAGCTGGGGGGAGCCGGGAGATCGCTGGAGCTGGGGTGGTGGAGGCGGCAGGGAAATGGCAAACAAAGCTCCTTTTTGTGGCAAGTGGTGTTGCATGAGCAGCAGAGAGGCAGTGGAGGGAAAACCACTGGGAAAAATGAATGTTAGAACTGAAATTCGTTGAACTTGCAGAAATGCAACCACTTGCTGAAGGGTGTTGTGTCCAGAGGGGCGGCTGGGATGCTTCTTAAAGCCTTGCATTAGTGTGAAAAAAAGAAAAGGGTCTTAACAAGCAAGAAATTGAAATTTGGAGTCCTTTGGTTTGCTCTGTGTCCCAAGAGGGTGTTTATTTTGGATGGGATAGACCACATGGGAATAAGGAGCCCAATATCCTGCTCTCAGTCGCTACTTGCTCCAACTCTGGGGTCAGTGTCCCTCTTTCCCTGACTGCCCACCTCACCTCCTGGGATCAGGCTTGTCACTGCAAACCTTGTAAGTAGTGTCTTCCAATCCAAGTTTAATCTCAGCAGATGACAGGAAATGAAATTTTGTACTATAATAAAAAAGCCACATGCAAGTCCCAGAACTAAGAAAAATTAAATTTCATGAAAGAATAATAATGGCACAGAAAAGATCTGGGGCATACAAAATATTTGGATGGAACAGTGGTGGAGACTGTAAATACTTAGGTTGATGGACTGAAATATATTCCCCTTTTACTTGTTTTCTGTTACATTTGCAGTGCCTCGGGATGAAGGATGTGTGCTCATGCATATCTGTGTGATGTATTCCTGCTGCTGCACAACTTCTGTAAAAACCAAATGGAGTTAGCAGAGATATGCAGAAAAGGGTGCTAGAGAAAATCTAGAGACAAGGGCACTTGTAGTTTTGCTGAGATTAACTGTTTTCCAGGCTGATATTAAAAACTACTTCCATTGTCCAAACAAGGTTTTCTTCCTCAAGTGGGGCCAGTGCCAGCTAATGGTTCAGCCTTAGTTACAGCTGGCAAAGAGTGGATTGTTTTTAATCTGATTTCCTAAAGAAATAAGGTGTGTGGTCATGCTGCCTCTGCACACATACAAGTGTGTGTGCACAGCTCTGCCTGCCTGGATTTCCCCTTTCTGTGCTGCAGCTTTTGGATGTGCTGGCCAGTTCCACCCAGAGGAGAGGGAAAAGGACTTAGAGAGGCTTTCACAGGAATCATGGGCCTAAGGGAACTTAGTAGAATGACAACTCAAGTGATGTCCTGCTGATAAAAATGCCTCAATCCTTTCTGGGCATTGCAGAATTCACATGGAAGCTCAGCTTTGGACAGAAAAACACAGGGATCAGGCTTTCACGGGGTCTGCTGTGGTGGGTGGTTGTGCACGTGTGTGCACATGCATAGATGTGTTTTCTTTCTGAATAAGCAGAAACAGCAAAGGAGCTGGGGGGGAACCAAATGAACAGTAAACAAATACTGCCAATTTAGTGTTAGTTAAAAGGTACTTAAAGCAGTTGCCTATTTGATTATGATTGGGGGCCATTAACATTTTTTTCCATAAACAGATGGTTACTGTCCGCTGAGTTGATTGCAGAACAATTCCAGAGTTCTAATTCAGGAGGAGCAGCTCCTGCAAACACCCAAGGGTGCCTGGCTTTTTGCTTTTGTTGATTTGGGTTTTTAATTTCTTTGTTTAGTTTTTTTTTTTTTTTTTTTTCTTCTCTTTTATTATGTAATTATTGGTACAGCTTCAAAGTGGGGGGAATATATATATATATATATTTATGTGTGTTTGTGTGTGTATATATCTATATCTATCTCAGAGCCATGACCTGCTTTTCAGATAAGGCTTAATTCTGACCCATGTTTCCTTGGCCAAGCCTGGCTATAGTCATACACTGATTTTAATTTTTTCCCCCCTGATTATTTGTTGTATAGGCATGAACAAACCCTCTGCAGCCTGGAGAGCCTGCACATGAAGGGTTAGCTGCTCAGGAGAAATCTGTGATCAGGGCCCTTTCATTCCTTCCTCTTGGGAGCCTGCCATGTAATGGGAGCAGAGAGAAAGAGCAAAGTACTATCAATCTGGCACAGCTACAGCAGAGAAGCAGCCATATATCAGCAGCCACAGCTAATTACAGGGATTTGGGGATGTATGGCTCTCCAGAGCAATGGGCTGGAAATGGGAACCCATTGCTGCTGTGCTCTTTGAGCTGGGTGTGAGATGTGCAGAACCCTGAGGTGCTGAGTCCTCTGAAACATCTGAGCAGAGCAGCTGCATGGGACTGATGGAATTCAGGGGTTCTCCTTGCTGGTATCCTTCAGGTTGTTTGCAAATACCCTTGATATACTTCTACTCCTCAATATTACTTGGGTTTA